GCATCACCATACAGAAATCGCTTTCGACTAATTCAAATTCAATGGAATCGAATTTGGTCATAAGAACGTTTATAAAGCACCCCGGTCTGTATATTTTCTACGGTAAAAGTAATCTTACCCTCAAGACCGGCTTACTAACATCCTTTGGATCGATTTCCCTGACAACAGATGCCTGATCCACCAGTTCCATTACACATCCCGAGAGATAGCATATCGCACCACTCAGAGACCGGGTTAACTTTTCTAAAAAAAAGCGGAAGGGCCCGCCGATATAAATGATGATAAATGCGGTGCGCAGGAATTAAGTTAAATTTAAAGGGTATTTAGGGATCAACCACACATCGGCGACAGTAGATCAGCTTGGGCGATCTATCGATCGATTGTTGCGGCAGAAAAGCAAAAACAAAAAGGTAGATTCCCTTTTTGGGAGTGACGAAAGATCTTGTCCATTAGGTTGTCTGCAGGCATTTAATGGCTGCACCACAAAAAACACCACAAAAAAGGGCCACAACGGTGGCCCAGAGAGATTGATATGTTTCCTGGACCCACAGACGATCGGCGCTGATCATAATGCCCTGATTATAGTTTTGTGGTTTTTAATATTCATGTCGATCAGCAGGCCAAGCGATATTTGTTTGATGAATTTATTGCCCCACTGATCAGGGAACAGGGAACATCGATTGGTGATCGGTAATCGGCGGCGTTTTGTTTTATCCGCGGCATTTCTTTAATGGCTTTTCGGTTCTGGCTTTGGATTTGGTTTTAGGATCGTAAAATGCACAATTTAACAGTGTGCGGCATGGAGTGTGCTATAGTTATGAGTCTGAGATGGGTCTGGACTCGATTATCTCACAGATAATCGTGCAGCTGTGGTGGGTTTTATTGATTAGAACATGATTCGGTTGCATGTTTACCTTAAAACAGGGCATTCTGGGGTTTTTTTTGAACAGGCATTACGATAGAACCAGGACTTAAAATAAAATAAAGGCCCCTATGTATAAACCTATTTATACCTAGTAAGTTTACTAAAAGGAAACTAAACGATAATTTTCTCCCCCATCGTATCCATTAATTTCTGATTTCTCATCTCTAAAACAATGTCGCTACGGTCACAACTCTATTCCCACGCTAGACAATAACAGATTCCAAGAACTTTTGATTTCCAAGGGATCGACTGACTAGCCCCCTTTTGAACCCTATTGAACAGCTCCTTCGAGCTCCATTGTCAGCCCCGATTTTTATCGTCAAGTGCGTAATTGCTGACAACCCGGCTCCTTGCTGCCAAGTGAAGATCAAACGATCCAATCGCTCATTACCAAAATCGAAGCCGGGAAAAGTCTGGGGAGAATTCGGGATAGAAAGCCAGCTTTGAAGACAAGCCGAACGGCATTGTTATTCAAATTCAAGGGGGACACTTGACCGGGCCCAGAGAAAAATGAAAGAAATGAAGAGGAAAAACTACTGGGACAAGAAAAACTACATCAAATTGGCGCTTAAATATTTTCTGACCAACTGTGGGAAACAATAATATTGAAACAGAGAGAGCCAGGAACGAAAGCGCATTTACTTCGACAGTAAACTTGGCTCGAAATGGATTGGTATATGGTGTATGCTATATGGGTGTATGGTCTGGACTGGCCACTTGAGTTTTGAAGCGTTAAGTGGAAATCAATGCAGAGACCCCTGCTATAGCTCTCTGTTCCAAAACTCAAACCCCCGAACGATCGAGTGAAGCAATTGACCAAAAACTGTCGAACTGACGATCGGCAAGCGGTACACTTGTTCGGCTTTGTTGTTGACCATGTTTTCTTAACCGTTTGAGCCCCTTTTTTCCATCATCTTCCGTCTTCTTCTTCACTTTTAGGCGCGCGGTAGGTAAAAGAATATCGGAGTCGAATCTGTTTGGGAATTTTTTAACATTTTTCAACATTTTCTTTAGCTTCGTCGGCGTCTCTTGGAAATTTGTTTGTGCTGGCCAACGGAAATGCATTTATTTGCTGACGTCTTGGACCGAAATGAAGGGGCTATCTGTCTCTTTTCCTCCCCGGTCACCCGTCTCTTTCACATGGGCGTTAATTGATGAATCTGCGCGATCGGAGCAGAAGTTAGGCTATAGGTTCAATGACTATACCCACACACACATATATGGGTAGATAGATATACCCCCCAAAAACACACCATGTGCTATTTCTCGGAATTTCTTTCGGGCCATGATTTCCTTTTCGACCAAGTCGAACTTTCTGTTCCACGTTTTTCGGCCGATCTTTTTCCTTGGTTTTCCCTTTTGGGTGTTCATGTTAAACACATCTATTTATATTTTAATGATGTTTGTAATGATGGTGCTAAATATTTCCCACATTATTAGCACCTCTTCGTCTGGGTCTCGTCGCGGGTCTGGGTTTTCAGGGCTCAGGGCCAGGCGGCAAAGTCATTGAGGGATTTTCTTTGGGAACAAGTTGTGTGCGAGATCTTGTCACAGGGGCTTACTAGCCCAGGTATATAGGGTTGAAGTTTGTGAGGGCAGAGATAGGTGGAAAAGGATTAACAAATTTGTTTAAGAGAGGTTTTGGGTAGAGGTAAGTCAAATACTAGAGAAGATGAATGAATATGCCTCTTTTAGGGCAGAAGTGGAAAACTATGATATAGGGCTTTCACAAAAAAAAAACCGTTAATGCTGTCAGATTTAAAATCAACTTAATCATTACGACAAATAGTCATTGTACGCTTTACTCGTAGATCGTACATAATAGATCTCATAGAAGCTACCTTATAACAGGTACTTTACGCTTTACTTGTAGATCTAACATAATAGATCCCATAAAAGCTTCATTACAACACGTACTCTTTTTCTGTTAAGAGAATACAATAAATATTACTTTATACCACCCATCAAAGCGGTTTCGTTTGACCATATCGCACTCATTATGAAGACACTTGGGCAATCATAGGTATAGGATCTCGAAAGAATCTGATTGATCACTGGCGCTGCCGCCTTCAACGATGCTTAACAATGCTAAACACTTTTAATGAACTACGAGGCAAACAAGCAGCCAAACTTCCAGCAGACCACTCATATGAAATATGGATACAGGGGTCCCAAAAAAGGGCCGCCAGGGACTGGGAATGGGATTCATTTGATCAAGAAATTAACGGTTTCGTTACTTGTTACTTGCATCCCGTGGGCCAGGGTAAGGGTTAGGGTTATGTGTTGATTGGGCAACGCCCTGAACATATAGCCCTGTGCAATGTACGCCCGGCCATAGGGGATACGGCCAGAACTGATTGCGTTCTCAAAATTTATGACCGCACATGATGAGCTATAAAATGTTTTATGGCTCCGCTCCCTAGTTGCAGTTGCGGTCCTAGAAAAACTACCAGAAGCCATCATGCCACACAGCCCAATCGACAATCCACAAGCCACCTCAACAATTTTCGCCTTCTGTTGGTCTGAAATTAAATCGTGTGATTTATTGACGTGTGGCCCGCTTCTGTTTTTGGGAAATGGGAAAATGTTGTGGTTTCGTTTGTGTGTGTGGTGTGTGCGTTCTTAATTTCTTTGGGGTGGTGAAAGTTCCACCTCCCTTTCGATTCGCTTCCCCACGAAATTGATTGAGATGTCAGGATTCATTAGCAGCCATCCCTTACCATATTTCGGCTGTATTTTTCCAGCCAAGCTGGGATTCGGCTGACCGCCGTAAATCTGCCGGGGGAAATTCCCAGCCAAACAAGTGGGATAAACCCGAATGCAGCTTAGTTTTGTTAGGAACTAGGGATAATCTCCTACTACCTGAGCTTATCCATGCAAATGAATGAAGTTTTCAGGGTCGTCCGCTGAGAGGGCGTGCAAATTGACAAAGGAACTTTTCGCACATTAGGCCGTAAGTGGTTGTATTCCCAACCCAGGCCAGCTGGAAATTTTCACGCGCACTCGCAGCAAACAAAAATAGTTTTGCACCTGTTGTTACTGCATTTTCCAGCAGTTTATCCGCTTCTACTGAACCTCCATTGTCCCTGCCTTTCTTTTCCTATTATCCTGCTGTGTAGCTCGTGCTGGTCCTTGTATCTTTCTTTTTTTTCGCCTTTTCAGGCAGCAGCTGCAGCGGCTCTAATTGGCCATGGTCAGACCCGAAAAAAAATATAAAAGGTTGGTGTTGCGTCGAGTGAAAGTTGACCCAAAGCGTAGCAAATTTTTACGATTTTCTTCTGGCTTCTCTGGTGTGAGCGGCTTTGTTGCCAGTTTTTGCAATAAATTACGCATTTTATGCCTGCCCCAAAAAAGTGGGAAATGGGTATATTTCAGATGCAGCGTTGTAGCTTAAAGTAGCTGCTTTAAATATAGTAAACTATTTTAGTTAAGTCCATAAGTGACTGAAAGAATATGGGTAATGTGTTCTGCATAACTTAAGGAATCGGAAATATTTTAAGCCAAGTTAAAATTATTCAAATCTTTTGAATAAAAGAAGAAATTCCAAAGTACTTAATAACATCTCCAAGAATCCCCAAAGTTATTACTTCCCAGCCTTCATTTGCATTCCATCTTTTGTTACAGCATCTCAAGTAGCTTTCGTCACGCGCTTGAATGACAGTTGCCAACATTATTAATAACTCAAGCTGAAAAATATTCAACAATTGTAGCACTTTCTGTTATTGTTGTTACCGACTTTTGGACAAGTCAAGTGGAATGCCCCCATCCACCTCCATCAAAACCCATTGTCATGGAAATCGAAAGCAAACAACCAGCAGCTACAAACTACTGTAAATTGTTGAAATATTTTCGTTTCGTTTTCGGGATATATAGATATTTTTGTGAAAGGTTTTCGAGGGCACGGCCGAGGAGAAAGAGTGGAAAATTGTAAATTAGATGGCAATGTGAAGGCATTTCCTGCAGACGTGTCAATAAACAAAAAAACACATCCGAACAGGAGAACCTGCAGTTAGGGGGGCACTCGAGGTGTCAGGGGCACCAAGGGGTTAAGTAGTAAATTTATTGGAATACTTACGTATCTGTGAAGTGTCTGTCACTGAGACTGTTCCTTCCGCAGCTAGGTGTATGGCTTTGTTGTGTGCACACTGTGACATTATTACGTAATCTTCTACTGTACATAATGCACCTGAAATCACCACCTGGAAGAGAAGGAAACTGGAATTTAGAATCTAGAACAATTTATAAGGGTGAGGTTTTAATAATTTGCTTATCTTTCAAGGCTCTATCCTGAAATATCTAAGGTATACCTATTTAAAATTAATACTTTACGTGAAGTTTTAGCTGAATTAATATGAAATCTGTTTTACTAAAGTAATACTTGTAATATTTTTTTCCGTATATGTGCCAAACGAGTTCTTTACTTTTCTCTCCCATTTATGGCCACCTTATCACCGTGCTATCTGCCAACCGGGCCATCAATAATTGTATCTATCAGATACCATCGGCAAAAAGAGACCAACGGCAATGACTACAAAATATCAAACCTAAATTGCATACCAATGTTTACACGTTGTCACGACAAATACTTTGATACCCTCGGCACAGTGCAAACAAGGCACAAAAGTATTTCATGTTGTTTGTTTGCTTGTTCTTCTATTGCCATCTTTGAGGGCCCCCTTTTCTACGCCCCTGGAGGGGCGTATGTCGGTAGCCTTTACCTTCCTTCCCTTACCCCTCCACCGAAAAGCCCCCCTTTTGTTGGGTGATTTATCATGTTTGATTAGTTGTCTCTTTGGTATTTTATTACATTCATTAATAATCGCGCCTTTGATTTAATGAATTTATTGTTTCGCCAAGCGGGCGGCGCTTGTGTTTACCCCCTTTTCGACTCAACCCCCCTTTGAATGTGGTGCTATTGTGCCAGGTCAGGTTGTAAATCAATTGGGACCCAGATTTACTTGCGATATATGGAAGTCAGGTGCTTCAGGGCTTACGGTAATGTTATGAGGACTTTGACCATGCAATTTCGATCATTTTTGAGTAGTTTTTATTGCATGTACATAAGATTTATTTGCAGATTTATGGGACTAACTATCTCTAAGGAAAATTGTAAATGGAATGGCATTGTATCTTTATTGTAGTTACGTCTTGTTTACTTCAGTTTTTCTATCTTCAGCTATTTGATTTTTTTTTAACTAGCTACAATTTCTGTGTTGTTTGTGAAATCTGAATGAATAATGGTTACAACTTTTTCTAAAGTATCTTTGGCACTCTCCTTCTCTCACACATGCCACACCTTATCTCCATTCATAATTTCATCAACCCAGAAAAAATAACCAAACTCTTTTGTGTGGGGCCTTGCTACAGTTTATTTATTAGAACTCTGTCGATAATTACAAAATAATGCGTTTGGTTGCCCCTAACACGCCGAAAACCCCGCAGCCCTTGGCTTTTTCTACCACTTCATTTTACTTGGGTCCCCAACCTCCTACGCCCCCTTCCCCTTGCCACCCACCTTGAGTAGCTTCAGCTACACTTGGAGAAAACAAAAAAAAAAATTCATTTAACATAATCAGTTTAATAAATGTTTTTCTACGTACAGAGATTTAGCTTTAAATATTTTTCTGATTTTAAAAATACCATATCCTTATTAAATATATATATAATACTATTTATTAAATTGTTCTCTCTGCATCTGTGCTTGGGAAAATAAAGCGTGCACATTGGTTACGGGGGATCGAAACGAGGTTACCCGGGGCATAAATTCGAGGCGAGGAAGTGCTCGATAGCATTACAAAGCGTGCGCCTTGATAAGATTTCGAAGCTACCAACTGGAGAGTTTTTAGCGGGGGTGTTTTGGTGGTCTTAGGTTTCGTATTGAGGAAGTGTTTGGCCCGCAAGTTCTTTGTAACTTGGCTAATTTGTCGCCCGATAGTCGTGATTGAGGCTGCGGTTTTTCTCGAGAGGCCTTGATAGTTATTGTTTTATAGATTTCGAGGGCCTTGCCATTCGAGTGGCTAGCACAAGGACCGGTGGCGCTGTAAAGTTAAGGGTCTTTTCCCATATCACAATTTAATTTTGAAGTGTAGGTTAGTTGAAGATATTTTTGTGGTTACTTGAATAGAAGGCATTTTAAGGCCTTAAGCTCTCATAGCCTTTGAAGCGAAGAACATATATTACAAGCAATAATATGTTTACATTTGAAGCTTTTTTATGTCTAACAAGCCTTAAGTCGGAATAAGTATTAGGGCTTATAGATTTAAGTGGTAATATAAAAACAACAAATACCAAAATTTGCTTTTAAAATTTAAAAATGTGTTTCAAAAATCCATTCTTTTAAGACATGAAATGAAGAATATATGAAGATTTTTTTAATAACACCATTCCCAAATAATCAAAGCTTCCTTAAACCACCTTCCTATTTAACTTTTTACTGCCATTATAATATTCAAACAATTCTAAATAAATCTGGTTCTGAAAAACGTGGCATATTCTATGCTTTCAAGCACTCTCAAATCGTTTCCGAACTCATTACAAACATAATCTAATAACACCACTTCACCTTCACTTGGCCGGGCCATCGATCATTGGCAATACTCACAATAAAAAACAGCAGTCTCTCTAACTGATTCGACATTCATTCGGCGATTAATGTACATAATTTTAACCCATTTACTGCCGGCACAGAGCAGTAAACTAAAATTCAGAGGAGTCGTAGTCGCTGGGTGATAACGTGCTGGTTAATTGATGTGGCTGACATTGGGCACTTTCGGCGTTGTAATCCCCGTGTAATCGCCAATCGACAATCGCCTCACTTGACCGATAGCTCTCCAATATTCTGGGATATATCTCTGCGTTCAAATCGAAATGAAATCGAAACTCATTGCTGGCCAACAAACACACACATGTGCACACACGCGAATTCACACACACGCGATGTACTTCCGTTTGCGCTTGCAATTAGTAATAATAATAATTATAATAAAATAATATAAATTTGTTATTCAAAATTTGACGGGGGGGGCACGTTTCCGCTTTTGCTTTCCTATATGGGGGGTGTGTAAATCGCGTAATGCACGGAAGGTTGGCTAAAATGTCGGGCGGTACGGCAGCGAGACGTTGGACGTCTTGGCAGGGCGATTGAATTATCGAGACTAAACCGAAGCGAAACGTGCGACATTTTTTGGCTTTGTGTTTTTCTTCCTTTCCACACAAGCAGCAGCAGCAGCAGCGACGCCAGCAGCAGCAACAGCAGCAGCAGCAGCAGCATTAGCAGCAACATCAGCGCAACCAGCAACATTAGTTGGCGCAGCAGCAACATCGGCAACACCAACAGCAACAACAACAACAACAGCAACATGAACATCAAAAGCAGTTTGAAAACTTGCGCATTTGTTGCTGCTCCCCTGTGAAAGTGCCTGCCTGTGTGTGTGTGAGCGCGGCCATTGCTGCTGCACTGTGACACTTATTGCATGCGATATTCGCCCCGAGAGCAGCGTGCAACACGCTATGTTAGCTAACAGCTGTTGCCGCTCGAACCTGTTGGCCGCGGTTCGAGCTGTTAAAGCAGTGGTTGCTGTTAAAAGACGGTAATGGCTGTTAACTGCTTGACTCTCAGAATGCTTTAAAAAAAGATGTATTTGGAAATTACAAAATTGAATTGTGGAAGGGTTTTCAAAATATAATTTTTATTTTTTGACACGCTTTTCGAACTTAAAATATGTTTTTAAGTCATTGTATTTACTTAAGCACAATATATAAACGTAGGTCTTAGTTAAGCCTCTATATGTTTGAAATAATAGATAATATCTTCCATGATTCATAATAATTAATTAATTAATTGATTATAACTTTCTACATCTCTTAAGCCTGGACAACGAAAGCTTGATTACTTAAATTAATTTTAATTACATATCTTTGACCCAGTCTGAAATTCATAATTGATTGCTCGTTATGAGTTTACCCAACTAATTAGTTAGATTAATTGAATTAACCAATCAAGGATACATTAGTGACTTTTTAACAGAGAACTTTCATAAGCTTACAAGCCACTGAAGATGTCACTGCCTAAAAACATTTTCATTATATTCTTTTTGAGATCGGTTTTGTCTAAGCCTGACACAATAATTAAACAGTTGACATCTGAACTAAATATAAAAACGCATATTTTCTTCAGTTCTACAGTGGAAACTCTTGAAGAACTGTCTTTGGATAACTATCAACCTAAATTGTTAATTTATAAAAACATTAGCGTAGAGTTAAAAACCTATCACGACGATCCAGTTCTTGCTATAGTACAGCTCGAAAAGGACTTAAACTTAAATCTGGAAGCGGTGCAGTTGTTGAGATTGTACCTCAAAGATAGGCAATACAACGATATATTGCTCATAGATGAAGAGACCGGAAATGACAAAAGTTATTTGCAAATTTGTAAAGCTTTCTGGGTAGCAGGCTTTCCACATGTTCTAATATACAATTTACAAGAACAACTTTGGACAATCAAACCCTATCCTTATCTGGAGATAAAGTCTACTAACTTAACTGAGTATGTGATGAATAGAAATAACCGAAATTTAATGGGTTATCCCCTGCGAGTATTAGTGACTAATGATCCACCTCATTGCTTTGTGGATGAAGAAGAGCTACCCAATTCCCCGAATCGCTATAAAGGAAGTATAATTACTATATTGAAAATATTCGCCGATCAACTCAATGCCACTTTTCAAGCGATGCCTTTTCCAGGACTTCGTCGCTATTCCACAGCAGAATGTGTGCAGATGGTTAGGTATAACGAAATCGATGCCTGTGGCAGTATCTTTATAAGGACCTACAAATACGCCACCAGTCAACCAGTTCGCTTAAATCGAGTGGTTATAATGGCACCATTTGGCAACCCCATCGATAAGTTCTACTATTTCTTTAGACCCTTTGACTTGAATGTCTGGATCGGAACTGGCATGTTAGTGGTCTATATATCGGCAATGGGTTCTTTGCTCCATCGCTGGCACTTCGAGGAATGGGATGTGGGTCAGTACCTCCTGCTGGCTATCGAAACTCTTTTGAACCGGGCACTATCTTTGCCGCAGTCTTCGAGTGGCTCCAAATGGATGCTACTGCTCTTGCTTTTTGTCATTGGTTTTGTTTTATCCAATTTATATGTGGCCCTGCTCTCCATGATGTTGACCACCAAACTATACCAGAGGCCCATAGAAAACTTGGCTGACTTGAAGGCAGCCAATGTGAATATACTGCTGCAAACGCACAACATTGGACCAAATTCTGTTTACGGAAGTTCAGAGGAACTGAGGGAAAGATTCCTTCTGGTAGAAGAATCCCTGCACAAGGAGAAAAGAGATGCACTAGATACAAGCTACGCCTATGTGGACTCGGAAGATAGAATGGATTTCTACCTATATCAGCAGAAATTCCTGCGAAGGCACAGGATGAAGAAGTTAACCAATCCCGTGGGCTACACCTGGGCTGTTCAGGTCATTCGACAAAACTGGGTGCTGGAGAGTTACTACAATGATCATGTACAACGATTGTTTGAGACTGGCCTGCAGCATAAGCTGGTGGACGATGTCCACGAGTTGGCCATAAGAGCTGGCTTCCTTCACTTCTTTCCCACCCAAACACAAACTATCGAACCCCTGCGACTCGGGGATATTGCGATGGCTGCCATGGTTCTGGGCGGCGGAAACGCCCTCGCCGGAATCTGCTTCCTGGGCGAGCTGCTCGTCTAATGGGACCACTCTCAATCTCAATCACAATCACGGGAATGGCAATAGTTCCGGCTGGCTATAAAAACGGTTAACACCCACGCAATAAAGCGGAACCACCCCTAAGTGTATCACTATTTAAAGCGATAAGGGTCACAATATGCGAACAGAATGAGGACCCGCATGCGACATCCGTTGCCAGGACACTCGGAAAAAATTAACAACAGTTTTGAAAGGGATTTATAAACTATTTTGTGCTTGGATAAATATTTATTGGACACCTTTTTTTTGGCTAAAAATATTTTAAAAAAATGTAATATCAACTCTTGAATAAACTTACAAGCTTTTTGAATATAACAAACCAAATACAAAAAGTTTTAAGAGAAAGTTTATGGTATGGAATCCTATCAATTTATCCTAGCATTTTTGTCATTCTTGTATTGGTGAAATATTTTCTTCTCGTTTTTATGATATTTTTAATTTTTTAAATTAAACTTTTTTTATTTATTTATTTATTCTCAGGTTAAAAGGCAATTGAGAAATTACCTATAACCTATGTTTTTTATTGCAGATATAAATTAAACTTTACATTCTTAACATGTACAAAAATAATAAACAAAAAAAAAATCTTTAAAAGAGTTTGGTTTTATAAAAAAAAAGGACTATTTTCTCCAAGTGCCTAAGAAGTGTGTCAATTGGGTGGCATTACTCCACTTCTTCCAACGGAAGTTACCAAAAATGCAGCAGTTGATTGAACATTGATTGACAATGGCTCCCGGAAAGGAAGCGGAATACAAGAAGGGGGAGCGGTCCACTGACAATCGATTCATGGACTTGGACATGGACATGGACATGGACATGGACATGGACGAGGACCTAAATGTGGATGTGGATGGGGAGGTGCCACTGCTCCTTGTGATTCCCTTTGTCTGGCAAGACAATGGCGATTTGTGCACCGTGAGCAGTCCGCTCCTCGCTCTTTTGTCGTCCTTGTAATCCGCCGATGATAATGGGCCATTGTCAGTATCGATGTTCGATGTGGACGAGCTGATTTCTGATATTTGACGCCTGCCGATGACGACCAATGACAGCCACTTGGCTCGCCTGTGGATTGCTGACGCACTTTGGCACAGACACGGATTGGATTGAATTGAATTGGATTCGATTGGATTGGATTGCCCTACTGGTGGGCACTTTAAGCTCATTAAAGTCTGGCGAAATTAGGTATATGACAGTAAGATAGATTGGGCATTGATTGGTGGGGTGTGAAATACCAAACAATACGATGGTTTAAAAGGATTATTTCGGGCTAGCTCAATAGGCGAGGGTAATGACTTATAGAACAATTGATATTGGCAGGCTTAGAAAAACCAAATGAAGTCCAACTTAAACAGTTGCTGTTTCCATTTTTCAATTAAAGGATAATCTAAGCAGAAGCCCATTGAAGATAAATTCCATTTTATAGTTAACTTAGAAGTACGAATCTAGTAAATTGCTTTTTAAATAGACTTACTTTTATACATAGTATCACTCCACTAAAAGTGAACATGTGGTCAGTCAGTCAGGATTATTTCTCTAAACTGGGGGTTGCAGCTGCTAACTAGTATAAAAGTAAAATGACATTTCAATTTCCCCAGTCACGTTCAGTACTCAAAAGATAATTGCACTTCTCAAATGTGAAGCGAAAATAACAGAAACCTTAAGTGGGATTAGGTGGTATGTTGTTTTCTGCATTCCCCTTCAATCAGGCCATATCTTCTGTACGGTCCAAAGGTTATTCCCTGAATATTTTTGTGCCTGCAATTTCATTATTCACCATGAATCAGCTTTGGATGGGTTCCGATCCAAAAGCTCAGGCCCCCCTTATAAAATCGTAAGCAATTACTTTTCACTTTTACCACGGCACAGTTATCAGGGCTGTTGCCAACTGCCAAGAGTCGTCGTACAGCAGCACCTATATTACGGCTAGAAGTAGAGGGTCGACTGAAGTTTCGTGAACATATTGGCCAGAACAGATTGCCGGATTGCTATCGCTGTGACGTCACAAGGAATGTGCCACGAAAATTGCCACCGATTAGATTCGCTTACAAGCAACTCGAAATATGTTATGTTAAGTTGTCAAGTGATAACTGATTGCCGAGGGCTGTTCATTAGCCAAATAAATGTTCCCAGACTTGGTTGTCATCGAGATTGTTGGGATGTGTTTTGCACCTACTCAATAGAGCCAAATTAATCGGTATTATGTGATGATTGTATCGCTGGGCTCTTGAGATCAATGAGATGTTTGTTTTTTGGGAAATTGTATGGAAAATTCAAGGAGGGGATTTTTTTCTACATTGCCCTTGGACCCATTGAATGGGGCTAGATAGTGGACTGGAATTTTTTATTTGCGCTATCTGCTTGTAGAGGGCAAAATCGTGATTTCTATTGGTCGTATTAAACAGTGATGTAACAATAAATGTATTTCTTATCTTTTATAGTTAATTATAATTAAATAATTATATTAGTTGTACATTATTCAATTTGTTTTTAAGGGGTTGCGTGGCTTTGTTGGTATAGGTCTTAGTATTTTTTAGATAAACAAGTTAACGATGACCCTGTCGAGGTCACGCTAATGTCAAAACAATACCCAAACTTAAATCAATCTTTATTTTGGCAACTTTTTCGCAGGGCTGGCTGGCAGTGTTCTTTTGTCCAATAAGGCGGATACCGCAAAAAGCTAATTAATTTTTTGCTCTGCCCATTTGCCGTCAACGGCAGCCGAAAACGCTCATCAAACTAATTGGCCGGCCGGCGGCGTGGGTGGTCATTTCAGCCTCTTGGCCAACTACTCGGCTTGGCTTTAATTGCATGCGCCGGTCGCCGGTCGCCGGTCGCCGAGAACCTGCCAAAGACAGGCATTTAAAAAGACGCAGCTTATTGTCTGCCTAATGGCTTCGAGTGAGCCAGGCTGCTGTTTTGGCCAAAACCCATAGCCAACTCAAGGCCCGGCCAAAAGCATTTTTGGCATTTGTTTTTTTTTCGGTTTCTTCGCCGTTTACCGTTTGGCCTTTTTGACACCGGCGTGACAACCGTCTATGCCGCTTAATAAACTTAACAATTTAATTTGGCATTTTGGCTAACAAATTGTTTTGTTACGTTTCGTTCGGTTTCGCTATTTGGAGAGAGAATTGATTAATTTAGTTGGGATATCAAAACCGTGGTAACAGGGTTGCAAAATCAATGTGGGTATATCTATCATAATTCATTGTGACTAGGTTTTATTTAAAATAATAAAAAACACAATAGAAATATTTTCTATCAAAACTGGAAAATATTCTTACGGTTTAGAGAATTGATTACAGTGAAGTTGACATAGTACAAATTTTTAAAATTATACATTTATTAAATATTTTAAAAAATTAATAATTTGCATTGATTATGTATGTGTTGACACTCTCAAGAAAAATAAAATTCCAGAATATGCTGATTTGGGTAATTTGAAATATATATTTTTTAGTGGTTGAAAGTTTGCATTAAAGAGTTTCCTCCATGGGTATAATTAATAAACAATTAAAATTCCAAGCCGGAAATGCATTTTTTTTAATGTTGCAACTCAATTAATTTTGGTTGAAGCTGAGCAATGCAAAATAAATATTTGCAGTTGATTATCGCGTTGACAGCCCCATGTGGCTGTGGAACGAGTTGGCAGCTCCGCGATGGCCCCACTTGAACTTTGTGGCCAACTGCTGACCAGCTCCCTCTAATCGCCCCTCTCCCTCGCACACTTAGCACCGCTATTTACTGTCAATCATCGTGGGTGGGGGGTTTCTAGCGGTGGGTGGTGTTCGGCGGGGCACGGTATCGCTCAATCAATATCAATGACTGATTACGATTAAACTTCGTGTCCACGCGCTTGTTGGCCATTTGGCTTTTTGGCGAGCCTCCATTTGGCCAGGTGAAAATGCGAAAATGCCTGGGAAATGAGTCACGCTTGGGGGTATCGTGTGGCCAAAAGTTATAAGGAAATCTCTGACAGTTGGCGCAGGTGAAAGTTGTTTTCGGCTCAATAAGATTGATGGGGTGGAAGACCTTCAGCTAAACAATGATTTCTAGTTACTACAAGTAATTATTTCGTCATGATGGGTAATTAGGTTTACTTGGAAAACGAATATGGGATATAAAACTTTCAAGAAAGTTCTTATAAGTAGGATAGTATGGTAAGGAACTTTCCGAACTATCAGTATGGTAATAAGAATACTTCGTATAATTAATGGTTCTTCGTTCAACAATGCCCTATATCTCTAACCTCCAAAAGTCCTTTAAAAGTAAATCGAATGAAGTGATTCAATTACTGTTAGATGACCGTGCAGTATTTCGGAGTACCAGGTCTTATCAGTCGATCGGGGAGTACTGGGGCAAATCAGTCCGTTCACACACAACCCTAAAGCAGTTCACACCCCGTCTGAACGAAGATGACGTGCAAATATCTGACCATGCGAATATTTATGATCCTTATAGTAGAAGCCTCATAAAGATTGCCCCGAATAGCGAAATCAAAATAAATCGTAAATAAATCGCGGCGAAATTCCTCGCCAAAGATCCCATGACACCGGCACTATCGGATCGTCTCCGGTGGCATCCGCCTTTCTACGGCGGACTTTGCTATCGGATCGTATATTCACCGTGCATTCGACGGGCGGACACCTGCCTTATCGCCCGGGTTTCCTGGTTATTTTTGGTTTTTGGGGCAGTCTAATGAGCATTAATTGATTCTTTTCCAGATTGGTTTACGATCGAGCCTTTGTATCTGGACAGGATCTTGCGGTTTCCGTGTTTTCGGTTTTGGTTTCGGTTTTAGTTTCGTTTCAGGCACGTGTCATCCGTATCGAGTTTGTTTTTCGGGACCTTACCGCAAAAGCCGAAAGCGTATTGAGTTTTACTCACATTTGCTGTTCCCAAACATGTAAACGAAAAACCGCAAAGCCAACAAAATATCCAGCCCACACACTCCGCCAGTGCGGAAAATGTGGCCTGCGGGCGAA